TATATATTAAAATTAATTAATTTGTTTTAATTGTTATAAGAAAAATTTCTAAATTTTAATTAATTTTGTTTTTGTTATAATTAGGAAAGTTTCTAAATTTTGAGTTAGTTATTAATAAAAAAGAGTTTTGAAAATGGATCTTATTTTTCTATTAACAATAAAAAGATATTAACATATAAATAGATTATGAAAGAAAAAATCATATATAATGAACAGAATTATTAAAAACTGTATTTGAAACCATAATTAAATTATTTTAAAATTTTAATCACGACAAACAATTAAAATCTGAACTGCTAACTTAAAATATATTAGTTGTGGTATGTGTTGATGTCTTCGGCCAATGAGAGCGTCCACATATGACATATATACTCAATCTGATTAGTCTATATTAGAGTTTTTCATTAAACATAAAAAATAAAAAATATTATTAATAATTTAAATAAATTAAAACATACAAAAATATAATATTATCACAATAGAATAGAAAATTAAGATAATTTTTTATAACTAAATAAAATAAATTTATGTCAAAAATCCAAATCTATTGTGAAAATAAAATGGAAACTCATTGTCACAAAAACTAAACTAACAAAAACAAATATGTAAATCAATAACGAAAAACTTAAATTAAAAAAATAAATTTAGCATATATATTTTAAATGAGTAATTTATTTTGAAAAATATTAAGATTTAAATTTTCATATAAACATATAAAATTTTTATTTAAAAATATCAATACTATCAAAAAAACATTCGTATTAAATTATCAAAAAAGAAAGTCATCTAAAACTTATAATTTTTGGGGAAATATTAAAAAATTAACACAAAAATCTTAAAAATCCAAAAATGATACTTTAGATAATTGCTGAAGAAAACAATATAAAAAATGTTTAACTAACAAAACCAAAACATAAATTATTTCTTACAACATGTCAATACAATTAGAATTAAAGTTCATATCGAGAAAGTTAAATTAACAAAAAAAAGGATATTAACTTAATATCTATGTTATTTATTTAACAAAATTAATATACACAGAATAAGTAAGAGAATAAAAAAACTTAAATAATACTCAAAAGCTTAACTAACAAAAATAATATAAATATTTAAGCTAATTATTTAAGAAATCAATATTAAGAAATTAATTAACTAAAAAACTAAAACGAAAATTAAGTTTTGCAAAATATTTTTTTTTAAAAAAAACACTTCAATATATTTTGACTTAATATCTGACTAAGTACTGAAAAATTCATATAAAAATATTTAACTAACAAAACATTTATGTCTTCAAAATATCAATATTTTAAAAACAATAGTGTGTTAAAATAAAATAAAAATCAATATCAAGAGAGGTAAATTATTAAAGGAAAAAGTCGTATAAAGTAAAATTAGCTTGATATTTAGGCTAACTACCAAACAAATATTAACTAAAAAAGCAAATGATGGTATAAACTTTTAAGAGAAGTTCACTTAAAATTTAGAATAACCAGTTATAGCATGTCAAAATAGCATTTTAATTAATTTAAAAAGTAAAATTAACAAATAAAAAGCATTTATGTAAAAGATATTAGATTAATATATACCTATTTGAAAAATCAATAACAAAAGAGATTAATTAAAAATATATATGTTTTAAGTATATCAAACCTGCAGAAAATTAGATAATTAAAATAAAATATAAAATTACCATTGAAGATATTTAAAATAACAAAAAACAAGATCTAAGAAGAAAAATAGTTTGAAATATAGTTCCAAAAACATTCATGATTTCTAAAATATTGGTGTTGACTATGGATAACCATATAAAGTTTTGATAGGTTATAGAAGTTTCTAAATCAAACATATTATTTAAATTTACAAAGATTAATACCTTGGTTGCGTCTCGTTGAAAAATTAACAAAGTAAAATACTACACAAGTAACTTTACATTAAAAATATAATAAGTAATAAAGTCTGATTTGTATACATATTTACTGCTTATAACTTAGTCAACATGAACAACACATAAGCAACATCCTCTAACATTTTATTTAAATAATATTATATGACAAAGTTATGAATCTAATTCAAATGGGAATATATGAAGATTAAATATTCAAATCAAAACATGAATAAACACACAAAAGATAAAAAAAAAACAGTGATAATGTGAAGTCTCAACATCATCTTAAATGTTTAAAAACAAATATTAACAAATAGTTGACTGCAAATAAAACAGATCTTATAAACTAAATAGAGAAGATCTGGTAGAGAAGCAAAAAGCAGCTTTATACGATTAATGTAGCTTACTAACAAAAGTAAATCTGATACAATATATATCATATATTATATATGTATATATACACAACATTAGTGAGACATTTAGTAAAGAAACTAAATATTTAAACATATAAACCTTTAAAAAAAAAGAACCATAGAAATCCTAAGGATACAAAACAAAACACCAAAAATTTAGTAAGAAAATCATTTTCTAAATCAAACATATGCACATCAAAGTTGGATAATTCGTTAGGTGTCATTATTATGATTTTACTTAATAAGATTTATAATTTTATAAACAAAAATAGGAAATACTACATATTATGTTTTAATTTTTTTTATATAAAAGAAAATTTCTACAAATATATTATAGTTTTGATAATTTAGAAGATATTAGCCAAAAAATTAAACCAAATTATTAATACAGACTCGCGCGTAGCGCGAGTTAAAAACCTAATAATATATAAAAATTGATGGCATAGTGCATTGAAGATGTCCACATAGGACGAAAAAACTCAATCTAGTTGGTCCACATCATCGTTTTCATTAATTACAAAAATGTTAAGTATGATTAAGATGAAGAAACTCAATATGATTCGTACACATCAACGTTTTTCATCAAATATAAAAATATTAAATTTGATTAAAACATTACAAAATTAATTTCTATTTTTTTAAAACATTAATTTCGTTTTATATATAGAAAAATCAAAATAAAAACCTTAAGTAACAAATAGAAAAGAAATTAATATTAAAAAACTAAAAATATAGCATTCTTTTAAATTAAATAGAAATATAATGTCAAAAGAGTTAACCTAACAAAAAAACAAATAATGTAACAGCTAAAACTTATAACATATATTAAGAAATTTTCTAACTTCTAAATTAATTAACAAAAATATAAAAATATAAACTTTATTTTATAGATGGAAAAATCATAATAAAAAAAGCTTAAGTAACAGATAGAGAAGAAAATTATGTTAAAAAGCTAAAATATAGTATCCTTCAAGTTTAATGTAAATTTAATGTCAAAAGAGTTAAACTAACAAAAAAAATCAATATCGTAAAAGCAAATTAACTTAGTATCTAAAACAAAGAAATCAACTTGAAAATTAATAAAAAAAATAAATTTAACAAAAAAGCATTCATATAAAAGGTTTTAACTTGATGTCTATGCTACATATTTTGAAAATCAATAACAAAAGAGCTTAATAAAATAAAAATAAGTCCTAAGTATATCAAGTATATAAAAAATGTATAAATTAAAATAAAATATAAAATTACTATCAAAAGATGTAAATTATAAAAAAAAATTATTAAAATGAAATTAATTTGAAATTAGAGAGTGTCTATAGAGACCATGAGAATAACATGAGAATATCGAGAGACAAAGGAAGAAGAATATTGTAGTAGGTGGCTCAAGGTCTATGGAAACAATAAAGAAGTTACGTGCTAAATAAGGCTTACAATTTTTTAATAATAGTTTGCCATTGTGAAGATAATATTAATTACATTATTTTATCCCGGGTAAGTCGATTGATAATATACAATAAAAAATTATTTATTCATGCTATAATTTTATATTTTATCCAGATAAATATTGTATAAAAGTTATATCAGCATTTCATACCAAGTTCGAAGAAATGGATTTGAATGATATAAAAATAAAAATATAATTTATCATGTTGAAAGAAAAGTTATAACTTTTGAAACATAAATTATAAAATTTATAAATATTTATGATTGTGTTTATGTTTTTTCGACAAAAATGTCGAAGCAACTACTGACTATTTGATATGGTAAGTACACTCTCATGCATATACCTGTCATACTTTAATTCTTTGTTGTGAATTTTTTAAATAGCAAACCAAACTGTTTTAAGGCTATTATGATATGATGAGAAATTAAACATGTTTTTATAAAAGGTTTTTTTAGCTTTCAATATATTATAAATTTATGTTTCAAATTTTTGAAAAACTTTTATAAATGTTATAAAAACATAAACATTGATAACATTTTTATAAGATTTTTATAAATATTTATGCTTTTTAGCTTAACTAACTTGATATTTGGGCTAACATTTTTAATAATCAACACAAAAAACTTAACTAAAAAATTGATACAATAAGATTTTGAGATAAGTTCATAAAAATTAAATTGAAAAGTTAAAACATGTTAAATAAGCATTATAACTAAAATAAAATTAATATAAAAATCAGAGATAAAAAATAGTATTTAAAATATAACTTTTATATATTAAGCATTTGAGTAATTTATATTTGTTTTATGAAATTTGAATTATAACACGGACTATATATATATATATATATATATTACTATATGAATAATGTGATGATTTATTTTTATACAAAAATAAGAGATAAAATATAGTATTTAAAGAAATAATTAATATGATATATTTTTGGTAAGAAATAGAAACAGAGAATATCTTAATGAATCATCATCAATATAATTGATATAAACTAATGTATAACCAAATTAATGTGAGTGACATAACATGTAATTAATCTAATAATATAAATCTATTTTTATAACTTTGTCGAAAATGATTCTAGTAATGACACATCAGCAAAATATCAGCACTATAATATTTTATAAAATTAAAGTTAATATTTAAAAATACTTCACTTTTAATATATAAGGGATTAATGAACCACCCAACCAAAACTCACAAACATTAAAAGAACAAAAAGAGAAAACTTTAAGAGGTGAGAGAGATGAAGACGCAACATCTATGGTGGGATGTTCTTGATCCATTCTTGGCACAACACATAGCTCTTGTTGCATACTTGACTTTTGCAACGATTGTGATTATAATCTACATGTACCGACCCTCCTGGTCCGTACGCAATGTCCCGGGTCCAACCGCTATGCCTCTTGTTGGCCACTTGCCCTTGATGGCTAAGTACGGCCCTGACGTCTTCTCCGTTCTTGCTAAGCACTATGGCCCTATCTTCAGGTCCATCTCTCTCTTGATTCGTCGTTATTTTGGATGGACAAATCGATTTTAGAGTTTTAGTTTTTTTTTTTTCCAGTTCTTGAGAAAATGGAAACCAAATAAAAATGATTTGGTATTCGGTTGAGTTCGATGTGATGTAATTTTGGTTCACTTGATTTGATTTTCGGTTTAAAATACAGTTTGGAACAAAATAAAGATAATAACTTACTTATATAAATTATTATGTAATTGATGTTATATATATATTGTTATTATCATATTTGTTTTTTCAAGCATACTTAGATTATTAATAAAAAATATTTGGCTTAAACAGTTCGGTTTGATTTAAAATTACACTAAAATTGTAATGGGTCAGTTTAATCTCAGTTTTTTTCTTTGTTAAAAATAATAACGGATAATACATAATTCAGTTTGATTATTAGCTTAAGCATTTTAGTTTAGATTTGGTTCACTTTGATTAATAAAGCCATATCTTACTGATTGTTACTGGATGAGCACGTGAGTGGGAAAAAAAGAAGATTATGTAAAAAAAAAAAAAAAAAAAAAACGTTTTAATATACAAAAATAATAAATCAATAAAAAGGGAAAAGAAAAATGAGATACATTTTTAATTCTTTAGATACTTTAAGAACACGTGTCTTTTTTTTAAAGGGTTCTTATTTTTTTACTTTAATTAATTAAAATTTTAAATTACACTAAAAATATTAATATAAAATTGATTTATATACTCTTTTAAGTATCTAATTAGTGGAAATCTATACTATAAAAGAGGGTCAACTCTCTCCATATAAGTGCCACCTCATCATTTTGGTTTATTATGGAAATGACATGTGTCATTTTTAAAAATTTAATGATACAAATTATATAAATTATATAAAATACAGTTAATACATAAATTTAATGTATTATTAATCATAATAAAAAAATATGAAAAATATGAAGATTAGATAATATATTTTTCAAAGGCGATCCCAAAGACGATTTTAAGGGTTTTCTTTGATTTCGTAAGACGTGAAAGAGAGGTGGCTGGCCATCGGAGATCCGATGAGCTTGCCGGCGGCGGCGGGGGCGCCGAATGGCACTGAGACAGGGGATAATCGGCTAGGAGTCAAAGAGGTTAATAATATCGTGAACAGTGTTTCAGCAGAAGGAGTTTCAGAGACTCGTGCATCGACGGAGGGATCACAGATCCGAAAGAAGAGTGATTCACCTGAAGTTTCAAAATCATGGTCAGCCATTGTTCAAAATAATTCAAGTCTAAGTAAACATGATTTCACAATCGAGGATGCAGAGGGATCTCCTTGTGTGCTCATCCCGGATAGCGTAATCGATAATTCAACGCTGCTGTGGGAGGATTTCTGCTTGGTAAATTCCTCTCAACTGCTCCACATGTAGCAAAAATACATGTCATAGTCAATAAAATCTGGCCACTGGGGAATAAGGCTTTCAAAGTGGATGTTTTTGTCGTGGATGACACAACAGTCAAATTTCGGATAAAAGATAACTCAATGAGAGAAAAGATACTAAGACGTGGTATGTGGAACATTGCAGACATACCGATGATAGTCTCAAAGTGGTCTCCCGTGGTAGAGGAGGCTCAACCAGAGATCAAAACACTTCCTATGTAGATAATTTTGAAGAATGTTCCACAGAAAATGTTCTCTTGGGATGGCTTAGGATTCTTAGCGAGTCCAGTGGGGGACCCGAAAAGGCTGCATCCGGATACAGAACAATGCAAAAATTTCGAAGAAGCTCGAGTGTTCGTAGAAGCAGATTTGTCCAAGGAGTTGCCAAAATCGTTTCAATTTAAGTCAGTAGAGAAGGGCATTAATGCTATAGTGGAATACGCTTACTCGTGGCTACCACCACGATGCGATGTATGTACCAAATGGGGACACCTGAAAGATACATGCCTTCTGCATAAAGGTAACGACTGGTCATACTCAAAAAACGATAACCTCCAGAAGAAACAAAACATAAAGTATACCACTGGACCGGGAAAAGGAAAAACTCAAGACTTAGAACCACATGAAGATGTTGGGGCAAGTCTACCTGTTGTTCCAAGTACGGAGACAGAGAATGAACCGGAGAAGGGAGTGGTAAGAGAGGAGACCGTCACAGTAAATGTAAACAACTCAAATCAAACGCAAATTGAGAGGGAACCAGGAGAAATTGTGGAAACCTCTGAAACTGTTCGAGACAATAATTTGGTCGATAATATAAAATCACGCGAGGCTCTATGGATTACACCGGCAAAATCAGGAAAACATCCGAAAAAAGGAGTTGCTGGAGAAAATATGGCCTCACCATCGCGTTATGCAATCCTTGCTTTGGTAGATGAGGAACATGAGGAAACTGAGATTCTAGACCAAGATGGGATAGAAGAATCTGATCAAGAAGAAGAGGTACCAAAAATTATTCAACGGGGTAAGAAGAACTCGATGAAGCAGGTAGATAGCCGCATTCATCTACCACGTACATCAAAGACATCACACAAGTTTCTCAAGGGTACTGTTGCTCAAAGTATGAAGGAGTCTTTCCCAAGTACTTCGAGTAGAACTGCTCGTAATAAAAAATCTTCCTAATGACAGGATTCTTCTGGAATGTTAGAGGGTTTAACAGATCAGAAAAACAGTCCGTAGTGAAGAAGTGGGTACTGGATAATTCTTTTCAGTTTGGTTGTTTACTGGAAACCAGAGTCAAGGAAACAAAGTCGACGCAGATTTTTTCTTCAGTTTTTCAGAATTGGTCTCTTCTAACGAACTATGAATTCAACTATTTGGGCCGGATTTGGTGATGTGGAGAGAGGAGTTCGGATTACTCCAGTTTTTAAAAGCGGACAGGTCATAACGGTGTCTGTCTTGTTAGAAGGGCATGAGGAGGAATTCTTCTGCTCTTTTGTCTATGCTGCGAATCTAGAAGAAAAGAGGAAGCTCTTATGGATGGATCTCAAGAATCATCATGATTCAGGCATGTTTCAAAACAAAAATTGGACTATCATGGGGGATTTTAATGAAGTATTGGCTGGAGATGAGCACTCTCTTTATGAGACCTCACCCCATATTAGTCAGGGTACTCGAGATTTTCAAGACGTGGAACGATATTGCTCTCTCTCTGATTTACACTTTCACGGGCCTCGATTCACATGGTGTAACAAGAGAGATGACGGATTGATTTGTAAGAAGTTGGATAGAGTTTTGGTAAGTGAGCAGTGGTTACAAACTTATCCCAATTCGTACAGTGTATTTGAGGGAGGAGGGTGCTCGGATCACTTGCGATGTCGGATAGTCTTTGATGCAGGGGAGAGACGGGTTAGAAAACCTTTTAAATTTGTTAATGTTTTTACCTCCCTGGAAGGATTTATTCCATTAGTTGAGGGCTATTGGGCAAACACACAACAGCTATTTCATTCGACTTCTGCTCTTTTCCGTTTCTCTGAGAAACTTAAGGGTTTGAAGGCGCCGTTAAGGGAGTTACGGAAGGAGAAACTCAGTTAAACAAGCAAAAGAGGCGTATGAAACACTTTGTGAGAAGCAAAGGGATAACTTAGCGGATCCTTCTCCTATTGCTATGGCTGCAGAGAAGAAAGCTTTTGAACGTTGGACACATGTTGCAGATTTGGAGGAAAACTTTCTCAAACAACAATCGAAGTTACATTGGTTACAAGTTGGAGATCGAAACAATAAGACTTTTCATCGTGCCGCTACAACTAGAAAATCAAAAAATGCAATCAGGGAGCTACAAAGCCCCAATGGAGAAACTCTAAATACGGGGGATGCTATTAAAACCGAGGCCGAAAGGTTCTTCAGAGAATTTCTTTCTCAACATCCAATAGAATATGAAGGGGTCACTATCGAGGGACTGGAAGAATTGATGGCATATCGATGTTCTGAGAGGGATTGCTCTCAGCTGGTGCGAGAGGTCTCGGAGGCTGAAGTGAGACAAGTCTTGTTTGCAATGCCTAATAGCAAATCTCCAGGCCCGGATGGATTTACGACTGAGTTTTTTAAAGCTGCATGGACAGTCATCGGCCATGATTTCACAGTCGCAATACAATCTTTTTTTCTTAAAGGATTCTTACCAAAAGGGATAAACTCAACAATCTTAGCACTAATACCAAAGAAGGAGGAGGCGAAAGAAATGAAAGACTATCGACCTATCTCGTGCTGTAACGTGCTTTACAAGGTTATTTCTAAGATCTTGGCCAATAGACTCAAGGAAATTCTTCCAACCTTCATAGTGCCAAATCAATCTGCTTTTGTCAAGGGAAGGCTGCTAATGGAAAGTGTCTTACTAGCAACTGAGCTAGTAAAAGACTATCATAAGCAATCGATCTCCCCCCGGTGTGCCATGAAGATTGACATTGCTAAAGCTTTCGACTCAGTACAGTGGGATTTTTTGCGCAATGTCTTAACAGCCCTGGGTTTACCGGCACAGTTTGTACACTGGATAATGTTATGCGTCTCCACTCCCTCCTTCTCGGTGCAGGTTAATAATGAGTTAGCCGGATATTTTCAGAGTAGTCGTGGCCTTCGACAAGGTTGTGCCTTATCCCCATATCTCTTTGTGATGAGTATGCATATTCTCTCAAAACTTCTCAACAGGACGGCTGAAAACAGAGTATTTGGTTACCACGCTAAGTGCAAGAATTTACAACTCACTCACCTCTGTTTCGCGGATGACCTTATGGTATTTACGGATGGGAAACTTCACTCACTGGAAGGAGTCATTGATGTCTTCAAGGAGTTTGAAAGGATGTCTGGTCTGTAAATTAGTTTGGAGAAATCCACATTGTACCTTGCTGGTGTAAAAGATAATAAGCGTGCTGAGATAATCACCAGATTCCCATTCGCCAATGGCTCTCTTCCGGTTCGTTATCTTGGTTTACCCCTGCTTACCAAAAGAATGGGAAAGGCAGATTATGGCCCTCTGTTAGAAAAGATCAGATCAAAAATTTCTACTTGGACAGCACGTTTTCTCACTTATGCAGGACGCTTGCAGCTCATAAGTTCAGTAATTATGAGTATAACAAACTTTTGGATGGCTTCCTTCAGGTTACCGAAAGGTTGTATCAAGGAGATTGAGAGCTTATGTGCAGCTTTTCTATGGTCTGGACCTGAACTAAACTATAGGAAATCTAAAATGGCTTGGACGGAGGTCTGTCGACCTAAAGCAGAGAGGGGGGGGGGGGGGGGGGGGGGGGGGGGGGGGGGGGGGGGGGGGGGGGGGGGGGGGGAATTCGACTTCTCACAGAAGTCAATCTGGTATGTAATCTGAAACTGATTTGGAGAATTCTCTCTGATAGCGAATCACTTTGGGTGAATTGGATTCACGAATTCCTAATTCAGAAAGGATCATTCTGGTCTACCCGGTTTAAACAACATTCGGGCTCGTGGATGTGGTGTAAGCTGCTGCAACAGCGGGAACTCGCTCAATCGTTTCATACTGTTGAGGTGAAGAGTGGAACCACTACATCCTTTTGGTATGACATATGGTCTCCGTTGGGTAGGTTGATTGAAATAACGGGTGCAAGAGGGGTAATTGATATGGGTATCCCGATAAATGATACTGTTGCATCGGTCTTCGATCGTCACACTCGTAGACGGCATAGAAATGATACTCTCAATGCCATAGAGGATATCATTCAGGATCAGAAGCTCAAGAGAGTTAATGGCGAACGGGATCGTGCACTATGGCGTCGGAAGAATGGGGACATGAAACCCAAATTCATTGCACGAGACGTCTGGGATCAGATTAGAAACGAGAAGCATCGGAAAGCATGGTATGGCGGTGTCTGGTTTCAACATGCAACGCCAAAATTTTCATTTCTACTGTGGCTCGCTATGAACAATCGCCTAACAACAGGAGAGCGTATGCTGCAGTGGAATGTTGGAGCTTCTGCAGATTGTATTCTTTGTGATAAGGAGATGGAAACTCGAGACCATCTTTTCTTCTCATGCGAATACACCAACCAAATCTAGGAATCCTTAATGAGTGGACTACTCCAATTATTAATATATAATTATTAAGGGTATATGCGTGATGTAAGTAACCCGTTCCCTGTGTCTTTGTTTCTATTGCATTCTATCTCTAATAATTTTGATATGTCTATTATGAATCTGCACCCCCTGGGATCGATATTCGGGAATCTCTGAATCTACGCTTATTTTCAACTCCCCGAAGCATTAAAAATACACATCCACATGGGATTGTATTGTTCAGCTTCTCTCCGAGTTCAATACGCCGAGAATAACGACGTTCCTTTTCAGATATGTTCTTCAAACTACAGTCAGCTATATCTGGCTGGAGAGAAATAATAGACGTCATGGTGGGTCCTTTTCTGCACCTCAACGCCTCACACAGTTAATTGACAAGGCAGTTAGAAACAGAATTTCTTCAATTCGGAGATTGGACAACAAATATGAAGATGCACTTGGCAAATGGTTTGAGGCTAGGGGTTAAGTATCTGCAGTTTCTTTCCACATCTAAATTCTTCTAAACTTAAGTCACACAAGTTGTAAAACAGTTATTTTTTTTGGTTTGAATATAATTTAACATTCACTTCAAAAAAAAAAAGATAATATATTTTAATAACAATATATATTTAATATCCAAAAACAATTATGGAATATCTATTTTGTGGTAGTTTTTAAAATCATTAACAAAATTTATATTTTATATTTAAGAGTGTTTTCTTATTTTTAATTAATATTATAAGATATTATTATAAAAATAATTATACAAATATAAAAATAATAACTATTTGATATTTTGAACCTTAAAAAGTTAGAAGAAAAATTTATACAATATTATAATAAACTTTAAAACAATTATTTTATAAACTAATAATTATTTGATAATTTATTTTATTCAAACTTGATCCATTAATAATTTTAAAATTAATAAGATATCAAAGTCCTAATATATATATATATATATAAATTAGAATTATAAGTCAATTATTTAAGCTCATTAAAATATAAAACTATGACATTACTATTGTATAAATCTACGCCGTGAACAAGTACGACCTGTTAAAAGGTACTTCTCTGATTTGCACTATATCCATTTAATATATTCTATATATACAAGGTATAATATATTTTACATTTTCTTATCAATAAACCATTGATCACATATATAGTCAATATCCACAAAATATATAAATATGTATTGTATGTTTATTCAAATACATAATATCCTTTAAAAAGTTTTAAATATACGATAAAATAAATTGTAAGTACACTTTTTAAAAAATTATATTATGAAAAAAAAATCCACGCAATACGCGGATACTCATCTAGTACTTTTAAAGTTAGTATATCATTTCAATTAACGAAGAAAAGAATAACAGATTTCAAATGGGGAGGCAACCACTAATAATAGTTGCAGAAGCGGAGCTTTGCAGAGAAGTTGGCATAAAAAAGTTCAAAGATATTCCAAACAGAAGCATTCCCTCTCCAATCTCAGCCTCCCCTCTTCACCAGAAAGGCCTCTTCTTCACTAGGTATCTAGTTCTTGATCCGATCCTTTCTATAGTCTATAGATGTCTATCTTCTTCAACCTTTCTATAATCATTATATGATTCATGGATCTTTGACAGGGACAAGAGATGGTCTAAGATGAGAAACACCATCTTATCTCTCTACCAGCCTTCACATTTAACCAGTCTTATCCCCACAATGCACAATTTCATCACTTGTGCTACTCAAAATCTTAATTCCGAGCCGCAAGATATCGTTGTCTCCAATCTTTTTCTGAAACTAACGACTGATATCATCGGACAAGCTGCTTTTGGAGTCGATTTCGGTCTCTCGGGTAAAAAAACAGTTAAAGATTCTTCGGATAGCAATGTAGAGGTGACTGATTTCATAAACCAGCATGTCTACTCCACGACACAGCTCAAGATGGATTTATCCGGCTCGCTCTCCATCATCTTAGGCTTACTGATTCCGATTCTTCAAGAGCCATTCAGGCAGGTTTTGAAGAGAATACCGGGAACAATGGATTGGAGAGTGGAGAAGACTAACGCAAGATTAAGTGGACAACTCAATGAGATCGTGTCAAAGCGAGCCAAGGAGAGAGATACTGACTCAAAAGACTTCTTGTCATTGATTCTGAAAGCTCGAGAGTTTGATACTTTCGCCAAGAAAATCTTTACGCCGGATTATATTAGCGCTGTGACTTATGAGCATCTTCTTGCTGGCTCTGCAACTACAGCCTTCACGTTATCCTCTGTTCTCTACTTAGTCTCTGGTCAGCTGGAAGTTGAGAAACGTCTGCTTCAAGAGATTGATCGGTTCGGTGGCTGTGATCTGATCCCTACTTCCCATGACTTACAATACAAGTTTCCGTACCTAGATCAGGTGTTTTATTTGTGACAAACAAATCCCGGAAGTTAACTTCTTCTGAGGGTATTAGAATCTTATATGGATGTTTTTGTTTTTCATCCTTTGTAGGTAATTAAAGAAGCTATGAGATTCTACATGGTTTCCCCTTTGGTTGCAAGGGAAACTGCAAATGAAGTGGAAATCGGAGGCTACTTACTCCCCAAGGTAAATTAACATACTCATTAGTCTTGCATTCTATCCGCTGCCGCCATTCAAACCAATAAAATAGAAAAGGTATCCATTAGATTTGCTTCGACCTGTTAGACGTTTCGATTCGATATGGAATATCAAGAAACCGTAATTTTATAGAGCAAATCACAAATACCAAAATTTTAAAATCTGATTTTCCCTCTATTTGTCGTTGTTGTTTAGGGGACATGGGTTTGGTTGGCACTTGGAGTTCTTGCAAAAGACCCCAAAAACTTCCCTGAGCCAGAAAATTTTAGGCCAGAGAGATTTGATCCCAATGGAGAAGAGGAGAAACTTAGACATCCATATGCTTTCATTCCGTTTGGGATCGGTCCAAGAGCCTGTGTTGGACAAAGATTCGCTCTGCAGGAGATCAAACTCACCTTGCTGCATCTCTACCGTAATTATATTTTCAGACATTCCTCAGAAATGGAGAAGCCATTGCAGCTTGATTATGGTGTGATTCTTAGCTTCAAGAATGGTGTTAAGCTTAGAGCCATCAAAAGATTCTGATTCTTGTCACAGCTGGTTAAAACAATCTAAGATTTTCATGATGAAATAAAAGTGAAAAAACTGCAGTTTTTTTTATATCTAAATTCATGGTAATCAAAAACTCCAATGTCGTTTCAGTGGGAAAAAAAGAACAAATTAACATACACAGATATCTCACAACACAAAATACAACAACAAGCTGTTGAAACATGAATCTCACAAGGTCACTTTACCCTCTCTGCTCCTCGAATCGAGTAGGAACACCGAGTGGTTTGGAGAAAGGATCCGAGGCAGGACTGTTCTTCAAATCACCGGTAAACAATCCAGAGTTCTTCATAAACTGAAACTCATCCATGGATTGCCTTTGAGCACGGTTAGTTCTACGTTTAGCCTTTGTTGATTCAGTCATGCTCATGTAACTTGGCTTGTTCTTGTTTGCTTGGCTGCTAGAGTTGTCTGAAACAAGGCCAGTGGTTCCAGAAGCAGGTGTGGTTGAAGTGCAGATAGACGATGAACCAGGGCTCTCTTTAAAGTCATAACAAGGACTTGAAGATAACATATGAGAAGGAGGCTTTGCAGAAACCCTTGTTGTCACATTGTTTCTCCTTACTTTAACAACATCAGCGGTTTCAGGTGACTTCAAATGCTTCCGAGGAGGCGTGGCGGCATCTGAAGTGTCCATAAGTCTAGTCTCCCATGGACGAGCAGCCATCCAACGCTCCAACCAACTCCATCCCCAACTATTCTTATCAAATTCTTGACTTTTGAGATATGAGATTGAATTGTTTGTCTTTAGGTTTGAGCTAGGAATTGACCTCCATTGCTGCAGAAAAAAAAACCGGGTTTCAGATTCGAAAATGAGCTTAAAACAAGAGGCGAAAAGGAGAAAAGTTTGTGAAAAATATTAACCTTTTGTGCTAAAGCGTAAGCCAATGCACGTTCCCTCTTGAAAGCACCTTCTTGTCTCTGCTGCAACTTCGTCTTGATATCATCTACAGTGCCTTTCCTATCACACCAACCTTCCTGAAGAAGTATATCAAACAACAAGTTAACATTTTCATATGAATCAAACCAATGTGCACAAAAATAATAAGATAATAACCTCGACTTCTTTCAAGAGATCCGATTTGCTTCTGTGCTCATCTAAAAGCTTTTGCACAGCTTGTCCTTCTACAGTCATCCTTACACGACGAGCTCTAACGCGAGCCTGCACTCGAACTAGAGCTTGCATGCACCTTAAAGTTACAGCTGCTTGTTTCCTTACTTGCCTCCCTCTCACTAAAGCTTGCAGCCTCACTATCCCTTTTAAAGCCCTCAATGCTCTTCTCGCCTAGAGAACAATAAATCGAATGTTATGTCAAAATGGAGTGTTTCTACAGTTCTCTCAATCCTGAAACTATTATTCAAAACCGCTACAAAGCCTTTAAATTGAATGCTTAGTAACACTAATTTTAATGCCAAGTCACAATTGATTGTGAAAAAGCACTCAAATTGGTTTTCTATTCTCTCAATTTTATTCAACTCACCAAGAAACAGCTAAATGCGCTGACATTGAGTGCTAAATCAAAATTGATTTCCTATGGCCTCAATTTTACACAACTCAAAGCTTAAAACTCACCAAGAAACCTCGAAAAGCCGTTTGGATTCTGATAGCAGCCCATTCTTCTCTAACAGCTTTGAAATCTTTAGGAGGAGCTCTAAGCACAGTTGCAACAGCTGCAGAGTAAGCATTTGAAGAAACCGAACCTTCTGATACAGACCGATGTCTTCCCTTAAAACCCTTCCATGACGAGCCTAAATCCCCTGAAGAACTCCTCCATAGCTTCCATTTCTTGTTTTTCCCATTACCCTTTTCCTGAAAACAAAATATCTCTCTTCTTTACTCTTTATGAAACGAAGCGAACACAAAAAGAGTGAAGAAATTGGGTAAAAAGCTCTTACAATTTCATCTTTCTCTGGCTTTTTGAGACCGATAATTGACTTCACCCATTTCCCTGAAGCACCCATCTTGTTGCAGATCAAAAGGTTCGATCTTTATGGCTCGAATTCGTAGACAACACAAAGAAAAACCTGAGATTTTTTCTCAGGTATTAGAAAGTTTGAGAGAGAGAGAAAGAGAGAAAGAGAGAGTATTGGAGAACGTGAACTGGTCGTAATGGAGGGAGTGGTGGGTTAAAGAGACGTTTTTGAAATTTGAACAAAGGGAAAAAAATATACTATTTTATTATTACCAACTAAAAAAATGTTTGCTCGAGTCTTTAGGCTTTTGTCTCTGATTGTGTTTCACACTTATTTACTTACACCTTCTCAGAGTTACAGGCACGGAAAAAGAACCCATGAAAAGGCACAAAAAAAAATAATATGAATAAATATTATTATATAAATCAGGCTTTTTATTCTTCTTTCTTTTTCGCAGGACTCACTCATGTAATGCCTTGTTTTGTTTTATTATTACTGTATCATTGGATTCGAAATTTAAACTCCCAAAAATGTTGCAATCAGATTTACGAAACACATTCTCTTTCAAAAGCGATGCACTTTTGGATTTTGTGATTTTTAGTAATTAGATCGGAAACTTATCTAATTAATTTCTCTCAAAAGTCAGAACTTGAGTCTTTTCCCAAACAAACTGTTATAGAGATATAATTAATTTGGTATTTTTCCTTGGGTTTTCAGCAAATAAATCTTCTAAGTGTTTTTTTTGCAACTTTACCCTCTATTATCAAAAAATGTAAGTCAATCCATAAGATTTTTGTCAATTAGCAATATAAACCTCATTTGTGTATAGATTTTATGATTTGTATATAGATGTGTATAACTTACCAAAACTACGCTGTTTTAAACATTTCAATAAAATTAAACAGTCGATAAAAGAAAAATTAAACAAATTTACATTACAAATCCCTTACCTTTAACTAAAATCAATGGCACACAACCAACTTGCTACAACAATAAACTGTTAGTCCAATAATAAATAAATATATATGCATAAACCAAACCATTTATAAACCTAATTTAATCTTTTTCTGTGATTCTCCTTATATCCGATCTGATCATCTTCTTCATCCACCACCGTTTCGTCTTCTCCATCGTCGCCAAACCCAGATTTTCAATTCAAACCCAGATCTATGAACATTAACTGAGTGCTGTTGATTGATGAATTTGTAGCTGCTATGTGAAACACCACTGCTGCTTCCTGAAAAGTTGTTCCATTTTTATTAACAGACTAGTATTAGCCCCGAGCTACGCTCATGCATGGTATTTTATTAATTTAAAATATTAATTTTTTAAAAAAAATTAGCAATCAAGAAACTCAACAAAAAAAAGTTTTTGTCAAAATAACTTAGTTAAAGCAACTGGTTTATGTTGCCTGCATTATCAAATTACAAACGACCAAACAATTTCAGCATTTTTATTGTACCTCATTTCAAGATAACGAATAAACAATAACAGAAGTGTTATTTAGACTTCTTTGTTATCCTTCAAGAACAACTGAACCTACAGATGCTTTCTGATTGAGTTCACCTGTCAAACCAAATAACAATGGTCAATACATTCTCATATACAAAATAAATGATAAATAGAAAAAGTAAAATAATTGACAGATATATCATGGAAATATATGAAAGGCTTTGATTTTGAAAGTTCTCTTAGCTTCCTAAAAAGATAATGTCAGTTAAACAAAACAACCATAGAATTAGAGATCAAGAACAATAAGGGAACAAACCGCAAGGGAGAAGTCAAAATTTTACCAGAAAATTTCATCTTAGATTGCTAATAAGGACTAAACAATTTTGTATATTCGTAAAGAAATTGAAAAATTTAGAGTTTTGAAAAACGATAGAATTGGTGTGAAGATAATTTGAAAATTAAAAGTGTGGTTTTTTTTTGGAAAAAGATCGTTTTCCCAAATCTCTCTTTTTCGTTTCTATATTTGAAGAAAAATGTGTATCATTTAAACTGTAAAAACTGAGATCGATGAGGAAGAAGTTTGTGGTTTTGAACTTAAGGAGATGAAATCCGAAACAAAGGGATCATGGATCATGGAGTAATTAATTTTGATTTCAAAAAATTACCGAAACTGATATAGATTTATTTGCATAGTAACCTGTCAAAATATTGTTGGTGGAGATATTTGTACTTAATGATATCTAGGTAACTGAAAATGGAAATAATTTGTAGAATAGATTGTGGCTCGTTACTAATAAATATATATTTTTGTTATAAGGAAAAAGAAAGAAAAAATTAAAATAAATAATAAAAATTACACGTGTCAAACTGAGAATTGTCAATTGACTTGTATTTTATAAGTATAAAGATTACCAAAACTGACATAGATTTATTTGCATAGTAACCTGTCAAAATATTATTGGTAGAGATATTTGTACTTAATGATATCTAGGTAACTGAAAAAAAGGAAATAATTTGTAGAATAGATAGTGGCTCGTGATAACAGGTTTTTACAATGCAATGATGTATCAAAGCTCAAATGCAACACTGAGATGTAGTATAGCATGCAAGTGAGTGTAAATCCACACCTAGGGGTAGCAAGTTCACTAAGAATGCAAGGGAATGAACGAAGCTAAGCGAGATGGTAAAATGATTGGTAAAATCCCTGAAAACAAAATGCAAGTGTCAAATGCAAAGCAAAACAATTTTAAAATCTCTGGAAGAGGGTTAACTACCACGAGGAACAAGCAGAAAGTCTAAAATGCAAAGCTAAAAATAACTAAAAATCGACCACTGGATCAACCACTAGATCGAGCAATACGAATCGATCTCGTCTAACAACTTAAAGTGAAGAATGATGTGATGGATTAACGAACAAGATGCAAACTTTATGATGATGGAATGATAAGCAAGGGTTTAAAACACTAAGAAAGAGGGTCTAGGGTTGAGGGTCATATTCATGGGTCTTAAAGGTTAAAGCTTGGTTTGAAAACTTTAGATCTACTCACTTTGTGAGGTTCTCTAGGCCTTGAAAACAAAACAAGAATCATCCATGGCGTGTGGTATGATTC